TAATACCTTAACCCTGGAGCGAAGGGATTATCGGAGCTCGTAAACACAGCACATGCCTATAAGTTCCACCTTGAGCTAAGTCGAGTGCTGAATTACTTATCCTACTCCTCGAACCGTAATATATGCTAGGTTCGCTGCGTAAATAGTCAGGACGGTGGTATCAACTGGTGTGCTACTAGGCCTGTGAAAATTTCGAAAACATTGCAAGCATCCTGTGGTTTGTTTACAAGATGTTAATGCTTCGTCATTAAAAATTAAAAACCCGTAATAATATCTTGAGAACCCCTGTGAGGTTATTTGTTGTGTTCGTGTTTGTGATATTTTTTTATATTTCGTACATATATCATTAATTCTGAAGTTAGTTTCAACTTCAACTGTATTTTATGAAGTTTATTTTTATTTTATCAGACTAGTTGTACACTAACTGAACATGAATAAGCCTACGAATAGATTGACAGATTGATGTCTGTATTATTTTTATTGCTCTTGTACGAGCATACGGCCAGCCTGATGGTGAGTGTTTACCATCGCCCATGGACTTCAGCAATGCGAGGGGCAGAGTCGAGCCGCTGTTAAATTTTATTTATTAACTTTCAAGCTCGTCAGCTTAATGAACCCAAAGTAATGTACATAATTATTTTTAAAAATGTACCATATTTGAAAATATTTGTGAGTCTTTAAATATCGTGGTGGGTGAGAGATATTTCGTCCAGAATTGTCGCAGCGGTCACGTTCGGAATGCAATTCGATATTGCAAATAGATTTTTTTGTTATTCGTTTCGAACCAATGTTTTCTTGCGACATGCGGTCCCAGGGCTGCCACCGTCCGAACTCAGGGTACGGACGTAAGAAACGTTGGATTGTTTTATATGAGAATAGCTTTTTCCCGCGACTCCGTCTCCGTGGAATAGTTACTTTGGCATACGCTAAATTTTTTCAGTTACGTAGAAAAGTGAAAATATTTTGAAAAATTATTTATTGGTGTTCTTATCTTATCGTGATGTTATACAGCCTATAGCCTTTCTCGATAAATGGGCTATCTAACACTGAAAGAAATTTTCAAATCGGACCAGTAGTTCCTAAGAATAGCGTGTTCAAACAAACAAACTCTTCAGCTTTATAATATTACTATAGATAATCAAAATTTAAAAAGGTTGCTGGTGTGTATGAGTGACGGTAACCATTGACCACCAAGTACGCCTTATGCTCGTGTGCCTTTAAACCAAGAAAAAGAACCCACGACTATACGGTATTAAGGCGAATGGTCACTGTGGCTCATTAAAGTTAGCACTAAGGTGTCCTTAATCCCATTACTTGATTCAAACACTCTCTCCTACTTGCGTCGTATCCTCAATAAAATAATAAAACCTACACCATTTCCGTAATAAAAACAACAGGTCAATGTAGCGCTTATTTTAATGCAGCTTAACTTTTTAAGTTATAGTCCGCAGCTGCAGTGCCTACTGGGGCAACGCAGGATCATATAATCGAAGCATAATATCCTTGTTTAGAGGCAGTTGGGTGAGAAAGTAGAGGAAAGAACTGAATGAATGTATTCAATTAACTACAAAAAGGTTTTGACATTTAATTGATATCATCGTCCACCTTATTTTTGTTGCAAATTAATCATTTGCTCTGGTTTGATGCGGAGGGCACTCAATGTGTACAAACCCTGCGGACCGAATGGTAAACAGTCGACGTCGCCCTAAACACGTCATTTTGGATCCTTCCAATACACTAACGGTGCTTTTAGGGTACCACATGCACCGGTCACCGTTCTCGTCGAACCTGTCGCTTGCGTCGAAGGACTCGACGAGTAAATTTACCCATAGACACAGGCCACTGAGTTTCTCGTCGGATCTTCTCAGTGAGTCGCGCTTCCGATCCGGTGGTAGATTCTGCGAAGCACTGCTCGTGCTAGGGCTAGTGTTAGCAACGTCATCAGGTTTGAACCCCGTGAGCTCATTTACTTCTTAGGTTACGCTAACATAGCCTCTCAAGACTATCAGCTTAGGTATGAAAAAAAAAGTGTACAAGAGGCTGTGGTTAAATACTGAAATGAATTGAGGTTTTATCGTGTGAGGGTCAGCCCTGAGTCCCGCCCCGGCTTCGGGCCGACGACCCGCGCAATCGGGCTTCACAAGATATTTTGCGAAAACCCCTCAAGGACGCGCACTTGGCAGCCGAGACCAATCATACCTTTTATAATGACGTTTTTTTTTCTTCTGATATTTATAACGCAAACTATTGCGTGCAGTGTTGGCTAACACAATGCGTGCAGTTTACGATTGATTTTTTTATATTATACTACAATATTAGCTAAATAAGTCAACGAACTTTGGCTAAGAATTGCGATTTTCGTTAAGCTAAGGTCAAAGGAGGTTATTGCAACTTTGTTATTAAAAATTGTTGTGAAACCTTATGGGATAAGACAAAGTCGCCAGAGCTCTCCCATCGGAGTCGAACTGTATATAAAAAGGTTGTAGCTTATCTAAGCTTTTTATTGTAGTGCTTACAAAAGCTGTTTTAATTCAGAAATTGTTAGATATGAGTATTACCCTTACAATTGATTAGTTTATTACGTGTCTCAAGAAGGGTAACATTCACATGGCGTCTAACCTGCTCAATCACCACTTGAATTATAAGAGGTAGTAGTAGGCTAGTAGAAAGTCTCGCGGGACCAGGGGATGGAGTGGCTTGTTATTATCAAAGCGTGCTCACGAACTATGTACTTAATAAAACAATTAGTATATATTATTAATTCACTAATTGCATATTGGTTTACGTTAACGTAGCTTAAAGCTAGTAGTTTATTTAAGCTTCAGCTTCGAGAGCGATCTCTGAGCACCCTGTATTTATTCTCCTATGTCAAGTAAATATGTCACAGTGTAAAAATATATCAATTTCGTCTGTTCTAAATCCGTATTATTGTTGTTCAACTAAGAAACCATACTTGTCATTGCCTTTAAGGTTTATTATTAATTGAATATTTATGTTAGGTTGACATCGTGTTTGTTCGTCGCACGTTTTTGAAATAGACTGGGTGTTGACTCATAACTTAAATTATATTTTTAGTTTTTGAGTAACTCTAAATACATTTTAAAAAAAGAACACAATATTCCTAACCTAAAAGTACATGTTATAACTTAAATTAAGTGCTATAATCTTAAATGACACGTGCGTATAGGAAGCACATTACGAAGACTCGACTCTGAGATATATAGCTGGAGCCTTAGCAGCTTTAGAATGTAGGTTCCGCCGAAACATTTTGTATTTGATTGCTCGCGGTAGAAATGGGTGGGGTGGTGGTGCGTACCCATACGTATGTACTTACTGTCATGTAATCTAGTTTAAACGCGAAACAGCCGTTAAACAAAACATTTGAAATTCGAACTTATGGTTTCGGCTCTGACCACCACTGGACACTTCATAAAATCTTTTCTTTTTGAAGTGAAACTTCCTTATCGGCGTTGGAAAAAAATTTACCGTCACATTTTTCGGTTACGCGTCACTTTTTGAAGTGAAACTTCTTTATCGGCGTTGGAAAAAAATTTACCGTCACATTTTTCGGTTACGCGTCACATTTTTCCGTTACGCGCCATCTTTTTTGTATTCATGTCTATGATAATAAAATCCTTTTGTTTAAACTTTATCTAATTTAACTTTTTTGTATTCATGTCTATGATAATAAAATCCTTTTGTTTAAACTTTATCTAATTTAACTTTATTTAACCAATTTCTAGAAAGTTGCATGTAGATCATTTTTCGAAAAATAAGGCCATAAACAAGTTTCACTTCTTACGTGTGTACACTAGTACACGCACACATTTTTTTTTTTTTATCTTTATTTAAGGAGATGATTCACCTAGTGAGTATGCCACGTCATTGTGCAAATAAAAAGAGAGTAACAAAATCATTAAAAAAAACTGTTATCGTCTCCGAAGGCCCACCAAAACTATTTTATAAAGTGACTTAGCCATTTCGGATTCCGGAAAGGCTAATACGTAATTTACACCTCCAACTTGTCGAAAATCTGTATGTTTTGCAAAGAATTGTTATCTCAAATCATCGTTGCGCGCAAACTCCATCATAATGTGAAAAGCATCTTCTACTACATCACAAACTGAACACTTGGGATCAGGAGCCTTCCCCAATGAGCAAATTTATTGAGTGAGATGTGCTCGGAACGAAGTCTGAAGAAAAATCTTAAGGGCTGTGCCCTTAAAACAACTAAAACCATAGTAATATTTCAATGTAAGTTTGCAAAGTAAAAAACGAAAAAAAAAAGCAAATTGTTTGTCAGTGGGTGTAAATGTGGCGCGTGCCAACACGGATAGCCGGCGGTGCGCGACGACCGCCGCTGCTGGCTCTGATTGCACATCACTCGCCATTTTGGTATAACAACACCCGAACAACGAGGGCAAACTCCAACCTAACAACAGACCAACTGATCTTAGATGTCGATATTTTCTGCGGTTGCCAAAATTTACTGATTCGTTCGGTGTCAATGCTTTACCCATTTACCAAATCAAGCCGAGACAGTTTATTGTATGCAATTAGGGAATATGTAAGCGAGCTATAAAACAGTATTCAGCACGTGGTGAATTGTTTGCTACTCTAACGTTTTGTTTGCTACTAAAGTTTGTTTATTGGTGGTAGGACCTCTTGTGAGTCCGCGCGGGTAGGTGCCACCGCCCTGCCTATTTCTGCCGTGAAGCAATAATGCGTTTCGGTCTGAAGGGTAGGGTAGCCGTTGTAACTATACTGAGATCTTAGAACTTATATCTCACGGTGGGTGGTGCATTTACGTTGTAGATGTCTATGGGCTTCAGTAACCACTTAACACCAGGTGGGCTGTGAGCTCGTCCATCCATATAAGCAATAAAAAAAACCTTGCTGATGTCCACGATCGATGACCAATTACTATAAGGTGGGCCGTGAGCCTGTCCGCCCGTCTTTGATAAAGAATTTATTATAAATGAAGAATGCATTTGTTTCAGGTAGTGCAACAGAGTGGCGGCGTCCAAGTATGGCAGTGGTGGGCTGTCAGTCGGCTCCGGCGTGTCGGTGAGGCGCGGCATGAAGTGCGCGGGGGTGGCGGGGGCCGGTGCCTCCGACGACCTGCTGCTCAGCGGCTGCTGGCTCGACCCCAAGCTGGAGGCATCCTCGCCGCCACCCGCCTGCCACGACCTCATAGACTCCTTACTAGCTCCTCCACCTTTAGCCGAGCTCAAACCTCTGCCCCCCTTCACCGGCTACACTGGCCATCTCTCCATCAACGGCATCTCTGGCCATCATTTCCACGCCATCGCTCAACGCCTTCCGGAGGAGAACAATAATTACCCCACTCAGAGCGGCTACGGGACTGACCACGACGTAGTTTCTTCGTCGACGTGCGCAGCCGACGCAGAGCCTCCCGATTTGGAGGACGTCAAGCCTTTCTTGGAGCCGCAGGACACGAAACCTTTTTCGGAATCATCGGGACCCGGTGCGCCTGATTCCTGTGCGGCGTCCTGCTCCCCTCCTGCTAAGCTTTTCGAAGACAATCACAAACAAGACATGTACGATATTAGCTCGATAGAAGACATTGCGGCCATCATCGGGTCGGCGATAGCGGACACGACTGTCCCTAACCAGCCCGAGGATCCCGACCGGAATGACTCTCGAGATAGCTGGATGGACATCGACGCCCTGATATCGGGCGCCTGCAGCCAGCACGGCGACAAGATAGTCCCACACGATCTCTCTGAATTCGGTCTGCCGAGTTCACCCCCGGCTGCGCCGCACAGTCACAATACGAACATAGATTTTCCATGCAAAAACCAAGACTTCAAAAGTGATTTCCTGCAAAAGAATTTGAACGCGGGCTCGACGCTTCAGACGCTGTTAACTCACGGCTACATGCCTCTACTACATAATAGGCTGCAGAACGGACCTCCGGTGAAACAGGAGGCACCCAGTTCGACCAGCTACGGCATGGACGTAATATCGACATCGTCGCCTCCCGGGAACGCCGTGTCCACGACGGACGGGGTCAGCGGGCTCTTGAACGGTCGATACGCATCGCACTATGCACTAGGTCTGAAATCGGATGGCCTGTGCAGTCCGGATCGCATCATCGGGTACCCTCACGCGCACACAACGACATCCTCAACGTCAAGTAAAAAAAGAAGTCGCGCGAAAGCAAAGCAGGGCAACAACGGCAATAACATACACGGCACATCGTTGGCCTTCCCCTCCGCGACCGCCGCCGAGCTGAGCGGCTTGTTAGGTAAAGAGAAGCCCGTCCATCGCTGCGGCATCTGCAATCGAGGCTTTCTGAACAAATCGAATATTAAAGTGCATCTCCGCACCCACACGGGGGAGAAGCCCTTCAGATGCGATGTCTGCGCTAAAGCGTTCAGACAGAAAGCGCACTTGATCAAACATCAGCAGATACACAAGAGGATCGGGAGAGACTGACGCGCTCCGTCGCTTGTGTCGGCTCAAAAAGCATTTAATGTGTGCGTGCCTGTGTGTGTGTGTGGCCCTGCGTAATGACTACATTCCGTATACATAGTTTAAGGGTTATCCACGTATTATACATTAGTTTTAAGGTCAAGTGCAATGTTAACTAGTTTTAAGACTCTCCAGAATTTTATTTGTAGATTATTTGTTCATAATTAGTTTTTTTTTTAATCTACTATTTTCGTTCATTCCATTTTATTGAGTTGTTTAGTCCTCGTTAATGATAATGATATTATTACGTTTATATATTTAGTTATTTAGGACGTTCGGGCTAGAACGACGATCGCTATACATTCGGAATTATGCGATTAAAAATATATGCTACTTATAATTCTTCTATATGAATTACTCCGATTACCTACTTATAGTCAGATTATTGATTAATAAATAAAAATATATGTATTATATTATTAGGTACTTAATTAATATAAATAAAATATGACAAAGTGAACGAGGCTAAAACTATATTTCTAAAACATGTTTATTTTCATTTTTCATTCATTTAGTTATTTAGTAATCATTTCGTATTTTCATCCATTTTTGCATATCCAATCCGATACAATATGGTGAGTGCATTTAAGGTATAAATAAATAAAACTAAAGACGGACCTAGCTAGGAATTCCTATTATGTCGTGTGCAAATATCCCGTTGGTATTCAAATTATTTTTATTAAATTAAATGAAATCTAATATACCCTTTGTCCATAGCTGAGACGTAGACACAGATCTGATAAACAAAATGCCTTAGTTACTTTTTATCATATTGTTCTCTTCAAACAACTATCTGAATGTATCTAGTTAGATCAGTTAGAAATACATTTATTTGCATTATTTGTGACCAATCATTCTTGGCTACGTTTAGTCAGTACTTGTTGTAATAATTTTACGTCACATTTTGACTTATTGAAATAGCTGTATCACTCACGGTAAAAGAATCGGTATTTTTAAACACTTTATACAGAGCCGAGTCTAATGTGAATTGGTATAAATAATTCCCAAGTTTTGTTTGAGAATCAAATAAAATGACACATGTGTAAGTAGCAAAATGTAATATAAAAATAAACAACAGAATACATCCTTAGGCTTAAATTAATGGAATCTCTATAAAAATAATGCGATGGTGCTAATACCCGAGTGATATCAAAATAACTTGTCTTATAAAAAGTCGAAGAGACTTGATACGTTACTGTATTCAAAATGAGACCTGGGATTGCTCACGAAATCTCATGTTTAGCAGCATTCATTGACGACGGCTGATCCAAAATGGTCTGCTCTGGTCTATGATTGATATTTTTAAGAGAAACAAATTGACAAATCTTCATCTGAATGAGATTAGCGTTAGGTTGACATGTTTGAGCGTGCTGATAATCTCATGGAGAAACAATCCGAGTAGATTTTTTTAATTTTTTTGGGTTAATGTTTCTCTATCGCGAAGGTATTTTAACTTTACAGGATCACTCGAGGTCGGAATTGGACAGGTTGAGCCGCGGGACACAACTAGTGTAGTATGTTTTATCATGATCTATTTACAATGATTATTATTCATTCATATAAGCCAGTGCATATTCTATATACTTTTGTTTAATTGGAGCATTAAATGACTTATTTTCTAAAATACTCTTGGTTTTGTAGAATTCAAATCGTCTGTAACATTAAAAGGTCGTATGTTGAACTTTTAATAGAGAAACGATAAACTTTATGTGTGAAGAAATTAAGATAATCTTTTCTGTGTACGACAGCCGATGTGCTTATTGATCTAACTTTTTTTCTCATTTAATACTCAATTGTAGTTCCTCTTTTATTTAAAAACGTACTTCAAAAGAAGACTACTATAAATATTATCGTTTTATTGTATTTTTTTAGAATTCAATAATTTTTTGTTCCGATTTAAGAAGAATGTAGCCGACACAATAAAGCCTTTTTATGTTTTATTAAATTAATTAAAATATAAATTCACTATTACGACTTTATTCTAAATTAATTTTATGGAAACGGGAAATTCCATTTTCTTTCCTTTGTCACGGTAATAAGTATCATTAGACGGAGAAATTATTTTTACGTGACGAATTTAAAATACCGAAAGATTCTAATTGATTATATGAGTCGACTATTATCAAAGCCGGCAATCTGACTTTTGGAAAATTATTGGTAAATCAGAAAAACGAATTATTGACTTTGTATTCCATTGGCAGTCACAAAACTCTTCGGAACGACATCTTAGATAAATAACAGGTTAACTATTAACCTTTATTTAATGCAGGTTTTGAACCGTATTCTTTGAAGGAGACGATTATATTCAAATCNATTGGCAGTCACAAAACTCTTCGGAACGACATCTTAGATAAATAACAGGTTAACTATTAACCTTTATTTAATGCAGGTTTTGAACCGTATTCTTTGAAGGAGACGATTATATTCAAATCAATCTGTATTGACATATCAATAACATTTTTTTGTCCAAATGCACAGATTGCCACCTTTGATAATAGACGACTCATATGTAGTTTAAATCTAACAGCACAGAATCTAATTATAATGGCTAGTTTACTGAAATCAGACAATCGGTTCCTCAAGTCTATGCTCGTCTAGTGCATGTTTTGTTAAGTGCGGCGTAGCTAGGTTAGCAAAACTTAACTATGTCTCGAAGAAAGATATTGTATCTTCCAGTTACTTCTTTTTTACTGGTGGTAGGACGTCTCGTGAGTCCGCACGGATAGGTACCACCACCCTGCCTATTTCTGCCGTGAAGCAGTAATGCGTTTCGGTTTTGGAGGGTGGGGCGACCGTTGTAACTATACTTGAGACCTTAGAACTTATATTTCAAGGTGGATGGCGCATTTGCGTTCTGAATGTCTATGGGCTCCAGTAACCATTTAACATTAGGCGGGTTGTGAGCTCTTCCACCCATCTAAGCAAAAAAAAAAGTTAATAAGTGCACGTTGTGGATGTACTGAAACCGGCTTTAGTGGATCCTTAGTGCTCAGTGCGAGATGTTTAACTTCGTACAGCTTCCCTTCGTTTGCCACTAGGGGCGCCTTTCCAACTTCATACAAATTTGAGTTAACTTTAACGCGATCGAGAAGTTAAAAAACTCACACTGATATCGTTTACTGATCTACATAACAGTGAACAGAAAATAACAATTATTTTTTAGTACTAATGCGCTACACATACCTACTCATAGAGTCGTGCACGCGATTCGGCGGAACTGCGTCCGGGAAGCGAACGGAATATAAAAACAGTAAAACACGGCCACAATAAAGCCCGGTTGCGTAACGAATTAACTAATTAATCGAATTCGCTATTGCGAACGTCCAGCTCTAGATAGGTTAAGGACTATCTTCAAGTTAATTACTTGTTGCGTAGACAGACAGACATTTGTTTCGTTCGTACAAAATAACTGTCGGATATCACAATATTCGCATCGTGCATTTTCCTGATTTATGTGTCGCTCGCATGTGTGAATCAAAATTGAATATGTAGACAATTAAAATCACGTGTCAAACGAAAAATGTTAGATGAAGAACTAACAGAAGATTAAAATCGCAACTCAACACAAGCTCACATTACATCACAATCTTATTCTAACACCATCTCGTAACATTTAATTTTAGTGGTCTTGTAACCTTAGTTAAACCAAACATACATTAATTACATTCCCATTAAAATGTAAATACATCAGTAGAATTACTCAACACATTATTAATTCATCACAAATCTGCAATATACATTAACAATCATCACACTGTGACTACTACAATATCATAGAGTGCCTATTTTATTTCATTGCTCTAACTATAAATAAATAATTAATTAACAATTTATTTCGTAAGCACATTTGTCATTATCACTCTCTTTTATTTCATTTCCTCTGTGTCAATACAAAACCATGACAATATAAATAGAGTAAATATTTCTTGACACAATGATGAAGAACAAAATCACATTATAAATTCTCGTTATTATAAAGTCCAGAACAGGTAGTAGGAAAAAACGCTGCGCTTGAAACACCGCTGTAACCGCGGCGGCACACCGTGGGCTAAACGCGCGACTGTGAAACGCTTCAACGAATTAGAAAATAAATCTAACTTTTTTTTTTTCATAATGTGTATCTTGGAAAGTATGTTTGCATTGTTTTAATACTTTCTCCGGTGCAAAAAATCTTGAAAATTATTTCTGGCCTAGTTGTCAGTTGCATCGTTCTGGTGAATAAACTAAAGAGAATCAATCGTTTATCATCCAAATACTCTGAAAACTTCAATTAAAATAATCTTGAAAAGTAACTCTTAAAAAACAGACTGGCTCCGAAAATAAATGACTATTATACAAATACATGTTGTTACGTCTACAAATTTTTCTTTCTTGAAAATAAATAAATAAATTAGTGTTTCACACGCTGCGTTTCCCACGACACATGTGTATAGTTCTTAATAAAAGTACCTTTTACGTTATAAGCGTGTTAGTACGTAAGTATTTATTGATATTATTAATTATTATTATAGGACTATTATTATTGTATAGCCTTCCATTAGTTCAGTATAAGTAAGTACACAGGACGCGATACTGAGAATTTGCGTAATATGTATGTTATATATTTTTGAGAAGTTATTATTGTATAATTTTAATTTTTTACATTTAGTTTTGTAAATTTATGTAAAATAAATTGAGATTCTTTTTGTTAAAATTTATTTTGTTTTTTGTTTTACGTCAGATGAACCTTGTTGGATGAATAAGTGAAAAGATTTGACTTGGATTTTTGATGTGTAGAGAAGATACTAATAACATTTCAAAAGGATTTTTAAAAGAATGTCGGAAGAATAAATGAATATAAACACATAAAATAAATATTTTTGCGGTAGTGATGTCAACTGTGATGATTTCAAAGGACAGTCGAGTTCTCAACGAATTCTGAGTTGAGCATGAGGCAGAGTTAAGAAAACTGACAATTCGGTAAT